CGGCAATAAGTTACGCAAAGTGAACCTACAAGAGCTTTGACTATTGATAATGCTTCTAAGACTTACTTACTTAAGCTTAGAAAATACTTAATAAGCCCTTATTAACATGCATGAAACGAGGCTAAAAACGAATTAAAACGAACAACAATTCGACTTACGCGAGTAAACCGAAATTCAAACGGCGATCCATAAAATAAAATCGAACAAGTTATATAATTATGTTATTCACATAATGATAGCATATATAATCATATAATTAAAACATATAAATAATAAAATAAAGCCATTAATTAAAATAAACTCAGAAAAATCTAATATTCAAACGGGACGCTACAGGATGATAGTGAAACATCCCCTTGATTATCAGCCCATATAGTTGGAACTTCAAATCATTCATGAAATGAGTCCATGTCACCTCACAATTTGCATCATAAAAGGCATTCGTTTCATTTGATCGATTGCGCATCTAAGAATTAATTTTAAAAAATTAAAAAGTATTATATTAATTATTTTATAAGTATACTTGAAAGTGAAAAAAAAAATAATTTATTCTCTAGAATTTAGAATCTTAATTATATTTTGTCTTTTGTAACCATAATTATCTTAATAATCCAGAATCATAATTATTTTGTGTTGTAAAAATAAGCATAATTCAGAAAATAAAAATCTCTTGCACTGTATTACTGTGTCACTTTTAATTCATTTGTAAAGAAGCTAAAAAATATGTACAATAAGATGACCAGGTTATGAGTTAATTTCGCCGGAGTATTGATACTAAAAATGATTTTATTTTAGAAAAGAGTTAATTAAGTTAAATAAAATATAGTCTAAATAATAAACTAAAAAGGAAAATTCTTTTATAAGAAAATATTCACATATATATAAATCTATATCTAGATCTATATAAAAAAGTTAGTTATTTTTAAATAGTAACTATTTCCTTAAAAAAAATCTATTTACTAGTTTGGGAAATTAATATAACAATTTATGGTATATTTTAAATAATAACTTATGGAAAATGTGGCTCTATATTTAAGGAAATAATTAAGCAATATAAAAATTTATTTTTAAGATACCTTAATTACTCAAATTAATAACAATTTATGGTATATTCCAAATAATCACTTATGGTAAATTCATTTTTAAGATATCTTAATTACTCAAATCACATGAATTGGTTCATTTACCCAAATATGATAATTTCGGCTGCAATATCAATTATGTGATTTGGTAAAAACTTTCCAGCTAAATTGTATAATCTGTTATTTAATAATTATTTTATATTTTTTCGTGTAATTCTTTTGTAAAATACTTTTTTTACTACATCTTAATTGCGCAAATTGTATAAATCCAACTGATTTATTCAATATGTAAATAATTACTAGAAATATAGAAATATCGACAACAATAATTAATTATCAAGATTGTAAAAAAATTGTGTTAAGGACAATTTTTATTTATTCATTTTTTGTGTATTTAATTGCCCAAATCGTAGAGAATTAAGTAAATAATTAAACAATAAAAATTTATATTTTTCAGATACTCTAATTACGCAGATCGTGTAAGTTCATTGATTTATTCAATTATAATTTTCTATAAAATTATTCTAAAATAATTGTGTTAATGGAAGTTTCTATTTTATTATGTTTTAATAACTATCATTGGATCTTTTTTTATTTTTATCTATAATAAACGTAAGTCTTGATTTTGTTTGGTACGCTACGCAATTCATTTCGTGGTTAAATTGAATATCATTTTTTGTATTTATCGATAATGTATGAAATCGAATTATTTGGTATTCTATATATTGATCCAATATACCCGCTTATAGTAATAAATAGTATCTCAAAAAAAATTTTCGTATTGCTAAGTATTTTACTCGATATTAATGAAAGAGAAATTTCTATAATACGATGGTCAGTTCTTTTTTGTAAATGTGCGTGGAACATATCAAATTATTTAGTGTGTGTGTGTGTATAAAGGTTTATTTTTACTTAAATTACATTGTAGTCAAATCAAATTTCTGAATAAAAATTTTAAAATGATAATTATTTTTGCAATGAAAATAATGTAACTTATTATCAGTTACTTGCACTGTACGGGTCGTGTACTAAATTTAAATAGACATGTTTTATGTAATTTTGCACAATTTAAATTTCATATAACATTTTCAACAAATTAATATAGGTAAATTGTATTACATATTGATTTTATATTTCTAATTTATAGATATTATTTAATGAGAATTTGTAATTTATAAATAATAATGAATATTTCTTATATGTGCATCGCACGGGTAGTTATACCTTATGTTATTAGTATTTATGTGAAGAAAATAATAATTTGAGTGATCAAAACAGACTGTGTTCCACAAACTGGCACAAGTTCTGCACAGTAAATAAAGTTAGTTCTTTCCTTAATGCATATATATATTTATTCTTCTCTTTTCATGCAGTCTAATTGGATGCTGTCTTTAGCTTTTGTTTTAGAGCGATGTCGAAGATGTGCTCTGCAAAAGTAAGTTGAAATAAACTTGTGTTTGGCTATATATAATATATGTACGTGCGTGGTTAAAAAGCGTACGAAATAATTTTTTTATTTTTTTTTTGTAGTGGATAATATTTAATTTAATGATGTGTATAAAAAGATCAATGTATTCTATGGCAATGATTTTGGCAGCTTCTTTTTTTTTTCCTTTTTTTTTGGATGACATCATGCTTATCTTTAAGTAAGGATAATATTACCGATTTTGTTATGAAGCCATCAATTGGGTGCATAGTGCAGCCAACCCTCTATAAAACCGTAGACATTAATAGTTGTCATGTACCGATTATAGAAATTCAATGAAGAACACTCGAGGGAGAAAACAGAGAATCGTATTGAGACTATTCAATACAGGAATACATAAACATCCATTTACATGT